TTGTTTAATGAGAGTGGACCCATGCCAAGTCAAAGATGTGTATATGCACATACACAAAGGTTCCTGGAGTCTTTTTTTCTTCTCTTTTTTGTAGCATCCTTTTTTATTTTATGGATGTTATGTTTTCTCAAATGTTTATGGAAGAGTCAGCAGAGGTGGCATGGTGGTTAAGGCACTGGGCTCCCACACGGTTGACCACAGGTTGAGTCCTGGACATGACAGCTTGCTTCATTTTCTCTCTCTCTCTCTCTCTCTCTCTTTCTCTCTGATGAGTAGATTTGCCCTATAGAAAAATTGAAAATAATAATAAAATAGAAAGAAAAAGAATAAAACTGTAGGAAATGGCTACGTGGAAGGAGGAAGAGCCAGTCATGAGCAACTAAACCCCAGGATGAAAAAAGCTTTATGCTAGGTGGTACTATCCATATTGGGTACCATAATTTCTCCAGATAACGCTTGCATGTCTTTACAGAACCTTCCAGTTTTTGCCTGTGGATCAATGTCTAGGTTTACACCAGTCTGTACTAAAAGGTAGGGGATTCAGTTCTTTTTCTTTTTTTTTTTTTTGAGAGGTTTTTTGCTGTAGGGCGCATACGCTCACCAGACAGAGACAGAAAGCAGGAAATCACCCCCCAGGGGGGGAATGGCCACGCCGCAGTCCCTTCTCCTCCATTCTCCTCTTGGGATCTTTGGCACGCATGCACATGTGCCCGGCGTGAGTTTTAAGCCACCGGGTCCGGGACACGAACCGCGGTCGACTACGTGGAAGTCCAGCGACATAACCATTACGCTAACTGCTGGTCCCGGGGATTCAGTTCTTAATGTGACCATGCTCTACATCAAACCTGAACTCCCAACTAGACAGAATCCATAATTTATTGAAGGAAGAGGCTGGAGGGGGCTGGAGGGTGGGGTGAGGTGGTCCACTGAGGTGGTCCACTGAGGTGGTCCACTGAGGTGTGGGTCTTTTCTCCACCCTCTCTCTCTCAGAGCTTTCCCAGATACCTCAGATTTCTCCAGGGTCTGGATCCCATTTTGCCCTTGGCCTCCCCCTTCCCCTCTCCTCTTCCTTCTCCTTCCTCTCCTCCTCCCTCACTTTGCTGCCTCCTCTTCACCTCCAGGACCTTGCTCAGCACTGCAGGCCGAGCAGACATCATGCAGGGAGGGGGCTAGGACCATGTCGCTTAACCCTGAGTTTCCATGTGATGAGGTGGTGGAGCTGTGGAGTCTGTAAGCGTTTGTCGTGGGGAGACAGACAGACAGTGAGAGGGAGAGTGAGAAATCACCCTCGGGGTGGCTACATTGCCATTCTCCGCTCAGAATTTTGGGGATCCACACACCCGTGTGGTATGATTTTTCAAGCCGCCAGGTCTAGTACTCAAACTGCACTCAGCCATATGGGAGTCCAGTGCCTTAACCACCACGCCACCTGCTGGCGCAGTCCTGTCATTAAGTTTTATGTTTGCTTATTTGCAAGGACCATGTGTAAGGATCTTGTGTAAGTCTGGTATAATTGACCTCTTGAGGTTTTGCTGTAACAAAAAGGAAGTAGGAAATAATTTTGGAAAGAACACTAAAACAGTAAGAAAGCCAGAACTTATTTTTACGTGGTTATCAGCTCACATTTTTATATGGACACCTTTCCCAGCTCTTTTCTTCTTGGTGGAGACAGTGGACTACTGACAAGTTCTCAGTCTGAGTTTCAAAAAAAATTCATTGAGAAAAGTTAGCAACATGAATGTTGGGAAGCTAGCTAGACTATGGAAGCCAAACACAGAAAGGTGCAGGATGAGTACGTAAAGTCACAGTGAACTCAAGAATCTGTAAATGAAAAGAAGGTTCCTGGGACTCTAAAAGGGGAATTAGGAGAGAAAACTGAAGACTTGCGAGAAATGAAACTGCAGATATTAAGTCCATAAAAATTGGAGTTTTAAGAGCCCAAATACAGTGAGAATTAGAAACTCCAATGAGAGGGGCCGGCAGGTGGTGTGATAGTTAAGGCACTGGACTCCCACATGGCTGACCACAGTTAGAGTCCCAGACCTGGGGGCTTGCTTTCTCACTCTGTCTCTGTCTCTCTCTGGTCAAGTTGAAAATATATAAATATAATTAAATCTTTTTTTTTTTTTTAAGGATTCTTTTATTTAACATTTATTTATTTACTTATTTTTAATTTGACCAGGTGGGGGCGGGAATGAGAAAGGAAGTCCCCAGGTCTGGGACTCAAGCCATGATCTGCCATGTGGGAGTCCAGTGCCCTTAACCACCACGCCACTTGCCAGCCCCACAGTTAAATAAACCTTTATTTTTTTTTAACTTTATTTTATTTATTTTAATTTGACCAGAGAGGGACAGAGGGAGAGAGAGAGAGAAGGAAAGTAAGAAAGCAAGTCGCCAGGTCCGGGACTTGAACCTCAGTTGGCCATGTGGGAGTCCAGCACCCTAACCACCACACCTCCTGCCAGCTCCTCCACAGTTAAAAAAAAAAGAAGAAGAAAGAAACTCCAATGAGAGAATATTTTAGGAATCTGGTTGAAGAAGTGGAGAAACATAGAGCTTAATATAATGAGCTTCACTATGTATATGTATTTCTCAAGTCAAAATTGGAATACCAGAAAGAATTTGCATGTATTTTAGAAGAAAAAATAACATGTGGCCCAGAGATTGAAGTACTGTATAAGATTGAGCACTGGGGACCAGCAGTTGGTGTAATGGCTATGTCACTGGACTCCCATGTAGTCGACCACAGTTCGAGTCCCAGACCCAGTGGTTTAAACTCATGCCAGGCACATATGTGTGCATGCCCAAGATCCTAAGAGGAGAATGGATTGCGATGTGGCCATCCTCCCTGGGGGGTGATTTCTCACTTTCTGTCTCTTTGTCTTTCTCTGTCCTTCTAGCGAGCGCACGCGCCCTATAGCAAAAACCTCTTTAAAAAAAAAAAAAAAAAAAAGATGGAGCACTGTATTAAGTAGCTGCCTAATTAGTTCTGATACCACAAAAGACAGGAAACAAGTAGAGCATCTTGTTTGATAAAAAATTTGTTTCAGAAATTAAAATATTTAGAATTGAGGCCAGCTGGTGGCATGGCAGTTGGGGTGGACAGATTCCATATGGCCCACTGTGTGGTTCAGGTCGCAGATCTGGTGGCAAAAGCTGGGCATGTGCGTGTGCATGCCTAAAATCCCAAGAGGAAAATGGAGGAGAAGGGATTGTGGCATGGCTATCCCCCCTGGGTGGGGGGTGCTTTCTCACTCCTACCTCCATTTCCCTCCTGCAAGCATAGGCATCCTATAGCACATTTAAAAATATATATTTAGGGGAACCAGCAGTTAGCGGAATGGCTATGTCGCTGGACTCCCACGCAGTCGACCGCAGTTCGTGTCCCGGACCCGGTGGCTTAAAACTCACGCCGGGCACGTGTGTGTGCGTACCCAAGATCCCGAGAGGAGAATGGAGGAGAAGGGATTGCGGCGTGACCATCTCCCCTGGGGGGTGATTTCTCGCTTTCTGTCTCTATGTCTCTGTCTGTCTGTCTGGCGAGCGCACGCGCCCTACAGTGAAAATCTCTCCAAAAAAAACAAAATATATATATATATGATCCGAAGTTGCAGAATTAAAGGATTAAGAAAAAGAAGAGTTCTTGTGCTTTGGTGGAAAATGTCTGAGAAGTACAGGTATGTCAGTTGGTGAAGATACAGGCTCCAGTGAGATTCCTGGAGGCTGAAAAAAATCAGCTACACTGTAAACTGAGTGCTTGGAGAAAGAGCTGTAGTTAAACAGTGAACAAGATCCTTTTTTGTTTTTTAAGAATTACTTTTTTAATTTATTTTTTTGGAGAGGTTTTTTGCTGTAGGGCACATACACTCACCAGAAAGACAGACAGAGACAGAGACAGAAAGCGAGAAATCACCCTCCGGGGGGGAAACTGAGCCAGTAGAAGTTGAAGTCCGGATGAGGGGCAGACACCATGGTTGGAGGAAAGGCATAAGTTTCATGAACATATCACAGAGAGGAACAAGCAATCTATTGATAGCTAAGAGAAACTGTTGCGAAGAGCTGTAGTTGTGGGGGTGGGGAAGTGGAATAGAACCTCTTCATGAAGACAAAGCGAAGATTTAAAGAGAAAGTAGAAGCCTTGGAGGCAAATAGAGAAGAATTGGAAACAGAAAACCAAGTGTTTAAATAAACAAAATGCTCTGAGGAATATGTAAGACTTCAAAAAAGACTAATAGGTATACAAAAAAAGGTTTTTTCCCTTTATTCATCACAGAGCTTGTGTGCATGCATCTGGAAGTGAGAGAGGGGTAGAGAGCACCCTCACAGGGTCTGGTCACACCTCGTTTCCTGTCTTCCAGCCGCCAGCCTATCAGATCCTGGGCATTTGCATGCATGTCTGCCATGTTTTAGGTTGCCTGGGCCAGGGATTCAAACCGTGGTTGCCATGTGGGATCCAGCTTCTCTTGAGCTGTGCATACCCACTGTGCTAGGGAGCTGGCCCTGAACGTTGGAGTTTAGTTTTGGTCCTCAGCATGTCTCCACCATCAGCCCCATCAGCCTTCAGTCATCAGCCACGGTGTTGTCCTTTCCTCCTTGCAGGTAGGAGGAACAGCATCAGGGGAACCCGCTGTACTTGGCAAAGGCTGTAAGAAGTAGAGACAAAGAAAACAACTAGAGGAACTTTGATCTTCTGGGGAATGACATATTTGGGGAAAAGACCATTCAAAAGGGGTGAAATCAGAGACTCGGTGAATTACGGGGCAACGTACGTCAGTCATTGCTGTTCGCCAGAGCCTCAAGGACAGTCTCTCATGAGTGTCGGGGTGGGGGGTTATATAATGGGATTATACTGATGACCGTGGAGCGGTAAAAGGTTTCAGATGTTTAGAATGGTATGGCAGGCCTTTGAGAACGTTAAAATAATGAAAGGAACTGACGGTAAAAGATGTAGTGAATGCTGGGTTGCAATGGCGGACTAACCCGCGCGATTGTAATTTTAGGTGCCTGTGGCATTTGATGATGTCTCCATCTACTTTTCCACTCCCGAGTGGGAAAAATTAGAAGAATGGCAAAAAGAGCTGTACAAGAACATCATGAAGGGCAACTACGAGTCTCTCATCTCCATGGGTGAGGCTGAGTTGGCACCTCTTGAATGAGGTGACAGCAGCTCCAAGGGGCTTAGAATGGTCCCTGTTCCTCTGGTATCCTCATTCTCACTCTCGGTTCCGGTTCCAACCCAAAGGTGACAAGTCATGCCTGCCAGATAGGAAATGATAGCCTCTCCTTTTGCAAATAAGACAGTGAACAGAGCTCCGGGTTATAGGTGTGCGGCCAGAGGTCTCCATGGGGATCCTTCCTTTGAAAGGAGCCGACCCTCCCCCCTCCCCCTGAGGCTGTCCCTGCTCAGTGAGAGCAGCCAGCGGCCAGTGCTGACCTAGCACAAGGGCTTTCCCACGCGTCACACCTCTTCCCGCTTTCCCGTAAGGGGAGGCGGCTGGGTGGGGAGAAGTGTTCCAGAATCTCAGAGCAGTGCACTGAGCCCGTGGACCCGAGAGCCTCACTCAGCCTTGACATCAGTCGCCATCCTCGTTTATCTCTGTCAGACCTGCTCTCCCTCTTCCTCTCCTAGATTATGCCATGAATCAACCTGATGTCTTATCTCAGATTCAGCCAGAAGGAGGACATAATACAGAGGACCCGGCAGGGCCAGAGGAAAGTGAGATCCCCGCAGACCCCAGTGAAGGTAAGTGGGAGCAGCAGTAAGCCACTTCTGGTCTCCCTTTCTAGTTAGAGAAGGTGTTTCAGAACTAAGTAAGGAGGGCCTGGGGCCTTGCTGAATGATTCGGTGCTAAAGCCAGCAAGAGTTTGTTTTTAAATCACAACTTAGAGGAGAATTGGAAGTTTTTAGCTGTCTTGGTCATGTCCCTTTAGAGTGCTGTATTTTCCTACCCAGCCGTAAGTCAGTGAGCTCCCTGGAGGCAAGGACTGTCTTTTTTTTTTTTATTGGGGATGTTTTTTATTCTTTATGTGCTATATGGCACTTGTGTACTTGCTGGAGAGATTGAGTGAGAAGTCACCCTTTGGGGTGAGGACCATGCCACAATCCCTTTTCCACTCTCCTGTCAGGACTTTGGGCACGTACACACAGGCGCCCAGTATGTTTTTTCAAGCCTCCAGGTCCAGGACTTGAACTGCTTAGTTAGCCATGTGGAATTCACCTGCCTTAACCAGCATGCCACCTGGCCACCCCAGCTAAGCTTTAAGTGGTTCTCCCCCATTTCAGTGTAAGAGAGAACTTGGAGATCATCTTGTCCAGTGCCTCACTCACCAGAACCACTCTGAGTGTTGCGAGTTGCATTCCCTGAGGGAAGTACGAGACCCAGCTGTTTAGTAAAATAAACAAGTCCTCGTGTGGCAAGGGAAGCAGTCGCCCGCATCTACAGTGCGGGAGCTGAGGGGGGCATGTGACCTCTGAAAGCACTGAAGGGGCCAGGAGTCCGCTTGTTCCCTCCAGGTGTACCTGACCAGTGGACCCGCGTGGCACCTCCTGGGCAGCGTGGATTTGCCAGCTCTGGGGAGACTGACCACCTGTTGGCCCCAGCAACTCTTTTTTTTTTTTTTTTTTTTTTTTTAGGTTTTCATAGGGCACGTGCACTTACCGGAGAGAGACAGAGAGAGAGGGAAAGTGAGAAATCACCCCCCCACACACCCCCCAGAGGAGATGGCCATGCCACAATCACTTTCCCTCTATTTTCCTCTTGGGATTTTGGGCATGCTCACACACGTGTATAGCATGATTTTCTTTCTATTTGTTTATTTTTTTAGAAGTTTTTGCCTTAAGATACATGTGCTCACTAGGGAGGGAGGGAGAGAGAGACAGACAGAGTCAAAGACAGTGAGATGAAAATGAAAAGTTACCCCACAAGGGATGGCCATGCTGCAGTCCCTTCTCCTCATTCTCTTCCTGAGATCTTGGGTACTCATACACATGCATCTACCATGATTCTCAAGGCAACGAGTCTGGAACTCAAGCCGCCATCAGCCATGTGAGAGTCCAGTGACATAACTGCTATACCATCTGTTGGTCCCATAATTTTTAAGCCACCAGGTTTGGGGCTTGAACTGTAATCAGCCATGTGGGAGTCCAGTGCCTTAACCACCACACCATCTGCTGGCCCAGCAGCTTTTCTCAACATCCTCTTTTGAAAAATCAATTTTAGGGTTC